TATTTGTTAAAAAATTGCAATAAACCATTTGATTCAGAGAGAGAGATCATAGCTGTTCACAACACAAAAGATCTTAGTAATTCAACTAAAAAACAATACTCACTTGGACCTCTCTTCCTACTCATAGACATTGCAGCTGCAATCAAGCCAGCAACCAGAACAGCCCCAGCGGCTCCTGCCCCAAGTATTCCTGAGAGTAAACTACTTCACAAGTGTTATTAGCCTACGAAAGAAGTCATCACCTTCAGAAATCTATAGTAACCTATATCACAGATATAGCACCAACACGCCAAAAAACATAAAAATTAGGCATCCATTTTAATCCAACTTGACATTTTCAACTCAAGTATGAACTATAAAAGCAAAAGTTTAAGCATTTTACACAGAATATTACAGCACTCTCAGGAACCAAATGCACCACAACTCTGCTTTCGTGATACACAGAGCAAGATAATAAGTAAAAGTAATTTCACAAACTCTCTCACCTACGAGCGATTGCTTAGGCTTGGGATCACCAGATTGCCGATCAGCATCGGCGTTGGCCCAACCAGAGAAACCATCGGACGATGAATTCAAATTATTCCACGACGAATTACCAGAACTAAGCCGTTCAGATCCGTTGTCACTGACGGCGCTATTCCGAACCACCAGCGATACAAAACTCACACGCCCCCGACCAACATTTTGAAGGCGGACTCGATAGAAAGACAAAGGGTGTCTTCGGCTGCCGATCGCCAATTTGAGCTGGAACGAGCTCGGGAAAAACGTCGTCGTGGTGGCCAAGGCATTCATCATTCGGTCTTTTTCGAAAATCACGGTCTCGGCCAAATGGAGCAACGGTAAACGAAATTAGGCGAGAAATGAATTTCAGTCGCTGGTAATATTAAATTCGAGTGTGAATTCGGAGTTCTGATGGGTGAATTTGGGTTTAGGTTGTATTTGATTAGGGCTTTTTTTCATCTGTGCATGTATCAATCAGTTTGTGTATGTGTTATGCTGCTATCTATCTATTCTCATTATCCACTGAACCGGCAATTTCTATACGGCAGGTACCAATTGAACCTGCGAACCGGATAAAAGCTACTCACTAGTTTTTTTTTTTTTTAAGCGATCTAGAACCCAACAGTCGGGCAAGCACCAGCTCTAAGCAAGACACACAACCACCTAGAGAGGATTTACATCAACTGCAAAAAGCCTAGATGTAAATTGCTCCTCTGAAAAACAACAACAGCAACAGGCCAAATGATCCAACAAACTACACGAAGAGAAACTAAAACAAAGCTAAAAATATAAGAATTTCAACCATTCTCTGATAGCTCCATTGAATGCCACCTTCAGTAGAAAATTTGTTCCTTGGAAAAGTCAAAAGTTTCTCGATCTCCAAATCCACCGAAGCATATATGTTGTGAGTTGAATCCTAACTTCTGCCACCTCTGTCTTACCTATAGAACAGATCTGCCACCACCAAGAACTGAAACTATTATCTGGCATACAAACTCCCTCCCATTTCACAGGTCCTATATCCCAGAGTCTTCTAGCCTTAGAGTAGTGGAAGAAAGTAGGTTCTATTGTTTCAGATTCTTCACCACAACTCTGACAGATCACATCCAAGTCCATGCCTTTTTTCTTCAGGTTTACCTTGACAGGGAGAGTTCCCGAGCAACACTTCCATAAGAAGTTTTAAGCTTGCTATTGACTTTCAGCCTCTAGGTTGTAATTCTTGCTGCTTTGATGAACTTTGAGTTTGTGCTTCCTTCTGGGATATCCAACTCCTGCACTTTCTTTTTAATTAAGTCAGAGTAAGAAGAAGAGACAGTGAATTTGCCTTTACTCCCCAAACACCAAAACATCCTACCCGACCTGCAAGCATTAAGAGTTGAAATATCCAGAATAGCCCTACTGTCAACCTCATCAAAGACTTGTTGCACCAACCAAGTATTCCAGCTCAAACCATCACTGTTTAACAGATCTTTCACCCAAACCAAATGCCCTCTTGCAACTTCAATCAGGTTTGGTCTCAGTTTTGAAAGATTTGGTACCCAATTAAACATCCTCAATCCTAGTGCTTTCACCATTCCTCACTTCAATTCTGAAAACCTCTAGCAAATACTGGAATTATATCTAGCCAAGAGTTCCATAGCCTAGAACTATTTTAAGTTTTAACAGCCTAAAAAATGGAACAGTGAGGGAAATACTTGCTTTTTAGAGTTCTACTCACAAGAAGCTCTGGTTGAGAGGAAATTCTCCATAGCTCTTTGCATATAAGGGCTTCTATAAAAAGCCTGACATCCTGAAAACCCAGCCCTCCTTCACTTTTTGGTATGGTCAATTTTCTCCAAGATTTCCAATGAGCTCCTTTGTTCTGATTCTCACCTTTGCTCCACCAAAATTTTGCACATAGTCTTGAGATTTTTTGCCCAACTGAGATTGGGAGTTTGAAGCAGGCCATTGTGAACACTGGTAGAGCATTCAAAACCGCCTTGATTAACACCTCTTTACCTGGTGGGGATAAGAGTTTGTTTTTCCAACTTGTCAGCTTAGCCCTCACTGCTTCCAACACAAACTCAAATGCCTCCTTTTTAGATTTTCCCACTTCAAAGGGGAGCCCCAAGTATCTTGTAGATTGGTGAGGTCTAATTCTCTGTAGCTTCTGACAAATGTTGGTTTGTAGGGTTTCAGGTGAGTTCTTGCTGAAATAGATAGTGGACTTCTCTAGGTTCACCCTTTGCCCTGTGAACAGCCTGTATTGCTCCAAAATGTTGATAAGAACTTGAGCTTTGTCCATCCCGGCCTTACAGAAAAACAACACACCATCTGCAAACACTAATGTGAAAAGGGGGGGTCCATCCCTTGAGAGCTTTTGGCCTGCCAGAGTTCAACTGTCTTTAGCATTTTTTATCATAGCAGAGAGCAATTTTATTTTGGTCTGACTCTTTACCAATCTCCCCCATATTGCTCTTTGATAAAACCATGGTTCTATAAGAAATATCCTAAAAATTTGGGTGTGATAGAAAATTTATTTAAACTTGATTATTTTTTTTTTTTTTTGTTAAAAAAAGTACTAATGGTTGTGATAATATAAGATGATGTTATATTAATATTAATAATTAATTGTAGGTGTTATAAACATAATGGAATAATGATGTATCATATATGTGGACAAATATATCCGCCAAAAATGAGTTTTTTTGTTTACTAGATTTAATTTTTAGAAAAGTGGCATGGTAGTTCTTAATGAGATTTTGATTTTATATTAAAATAATAATTAAAATTGATTTGATATAGAAGTATGAGAGATATGATGTGAAGTGTTAGTTAGTTAAAATTATGCGAGTGGATGAATAGTAAATTAAAATTGATATGATGTGTAAGAATAATTGGTTGATACTATTTAATTATATTGATAATATTGAGGATAGTAGAGTTGAATTAAAGTTGAGTTAGATTTTAAGTATGACTTGAGTATGGCTTGAATTTTTTGATATACAAATACACCCTAAATGGGTTTTTAATAAAAAGTTATATTAAAAAAGTAAAGAAAAAATGTAAAAAAATAGGCGAAATTTTATCTTTACCACGTGATTTGAACTTAATTGCAAGTTTACAATAGGACAACTTTTAATTGCATCTTTACCAATTGCATAACATTTAATTATAAAGATGCAAGATATTAGTTACCAGAAATCAAATGTCACGCCTCCTTAAATTGCAGAAAGTTATGGGATTTCAGATTTACATTATAAAAAAAATTAATATATAGGATGTTGTTCAATTCAAATAGAAATTTAAAAGATTTGAATTTCAAATGAAATCATCTTCTAACTATATACAAAATACACGATCAGGAACATCAGTCCATGTTGATGATCTAAAGGTGAAAAATATACGAAATTAACCAGATATTTTTTTTTACAACTTTTTTGTTGATTTTTTTTATTTACATCGCATGGTGTTTTATCTGTATATTGACTGTATATTTTCAGTGTATGCTGCGTTTATACTCAGTATATTTTCAACATATGTTGCCTTTTTTTATTAGTATAACATTATCAAATCACAATTGTGATGTTTGGAATGTATTTAAACTGTTTGCTTATATTTCTCACTTAATTTTATAACTAAAAGATGTATATTATTGATATGTAAAACATATTATAAATGGTAGAGATGTTAAATGGTCCTTGGCCCGACGGGCCGGCCCGTTTCGCCTGGAAAAAAATAGGGTTAGGGCCTTTTATTGGCAGCCCGTTTAAATCCGGGCTTTTTAAGCCCAGATTGTTTAGCCCGAAGCCCGCTAGGGCTAGCCCGAAAACCACTAGGGCTAGTCCGTTTAACTTGGGTTGGGTGGTATATATGTTTTTAGAAAGGTAAGGAATATGTCTCATGATTTCTTGTATATTATAATTTTGCTATTCTACTTCACATTTAACTATGAGTTATAATATATTATTATTATTATTTTGATAGATAATTATTAACAAATTTTATTCTAGTTCACAATAAAATATTCAAGCTAATTAGAACGGTTAACAAAAAACAAATGAGACAAAGACCTAACACATAGAATATAGTGATAGAATTCCCGAAGCGTACTAAATAACTAGTCGAATTGTAGTTATAAGTAATAGTTCGAACATTTTTTTTATTAATATGTTATTTAAGAGTTTGTTATATCTCTCTTATCTATATATGAAAGAGTGAGGGCTTCTATATGATTGACACGTGTCCATTTTTAGGGTCTTTAAAAGTTGACAAGTGTCCCATTCTTTTTACAGTTTTGCCACTCTAGAGAATTTGAAGAAGATATGTCCCATTCTTTTTACAATTTTGCCACTGTAGAGAATTTGAAGAAGAAAATCATGAAAAATAGGCGTAATTTCGCCAATAGTACAAAACCTACCCCCGAAAAACAACGAAACAAAATTAGGGAAAAATTCCCGTTCGAACAAAAATTAAAACGCTATCGATATAAGAAAACATTACTGATATGCGGTTGGCAGGACAATGACTTTTCTTACGACGGCGTTCACGGAGACGGGGTGACGGCGGCTCGACGGCGTGCGGCGTCAAGGGCTTTGGCGAGGGCTGAAGTAATGAGAAAATTGTAGCTCCAATTTTATTTACAAAATTCTGATGAATTGTTTGTTGAGGGGCTTTCTATAATTACTAAGATTTTTAGTGGCCTGACTAGATTTCTATTTGTTGATGGCTTTGGAGCGACCTGTTTCGCTTATTTTTGTTTTTTTGGGTGTTTGATGGGATTTCCGTAGTTTCGGGTGACACTTTTTCGTGCTTTCGGCGTTGCGTGTTGTTTCTGTACTGTTCTGTCCGTGATTTGTGAGTATTTTTATGGGGTTGGTTTGACCGAATTTGTTTTGTTATTTTGCTTCTATTTTGTTTTTGCGTCATGGGTATTTAAGTGAACTAAACGCATTTTGGCTTTCTGAAGTTGTGCGAGGGTCTTCTGTTGCTGTGGACCTCCTGCTCCGAAAGAAAAGAAAACGACTTCTGTGATTTTGTGTGGCTGTTATTGGGATCCAAAGAACAGGTTCCTGCCTGCATCTGTCGCCGTATTTTGTGTGCTACATTTTTTGGTTTTCTTTCGTATGTGTTTGTGTGTGTGTTTTATTTTTTTTCTGGGGTGTCCAGTTTTCTTGATTGCTTTGCGCGTTCAATTTGGTTGCAGAGAGTATGTCCTCGGGTGCGTCTGTGCCAGTTTAGCGGGACGAGGCGTGTCAAGCAACAGCCTCTGTTGTGGTGCACCAAGAGTCAAGGTTGGCTGCTTTACAGAGGTGGAGGGGAAAAAGAAGGGCACAGTCATGTCCAGGTGCATGGAATCGAAATTTTTTGTTTTTCTTTTATATTTTGGATGTGTGGGTTTTCAGTTGTTTGCCTTTCTTGGAAGATTAAGATCGGGAATTGTATGTGTAACTTTGTTGCTTTGTTTTGGTTGGTTCCCTAAGGTGCGGCGTGCGGTACAAGCGGGACGAGGCGTGTCAAGCAACAGCCTCTGTTGTGGTGCATCAAGAGTCAAGGTTGGCTGCTTTACAGAGGTGGAGGGGAAAAAAAAGGGCGCAGTCATGTCCAGGTGCATGGAATCGAACTTTTTTGTTTTTCTTTTATATTTTGGATGTGTGGGTTTTCAGTTGTTTGCCTTTCTTGGAAGATTAAGATCGGGAATTGTATGTGTAACTTTGTTGCTTTGTTTTGGTTGGTTCCCTAAGGTGCGGCGTGCGGTACAAGTGAGCCGGTGAAACCGTGTAGTGTTTCTCGGTTGTCGCCTGTTGTGTCCTCGCATAAGCGTGCCAGGGAAGTTGCTTTGCAAAGGCGGGGTGATAAGAAAGCAAAGGTGTCGTCTTCGGAACGCAATTCCATGTCTGCGTCCAGTGGTAATCGCGCTTCAAATGCCATGGTTGGTTCTGTCGCACGTTCTCACACGATGCACTGCGGGCCTGATGCTCTAGAACCTGGCTCGCCGGTGAGAAGTAGCTCTGTTGTGAGGCCACCAGCAGGTACCTTATATACAATGTTTATAATTAATATCTGCATTTGTGTGGTTTAACTTGAAACTTTCTTGCATACTGCAGTTGTCAACGATGGACGACATTTTTTGGGTCGTGTGCCGGCTATTGCATACACGTTGCGTGTTCAGCGAGATTGTCGGTATTGCGGTGCCAAGAAGATTGTGTACGAGACGATCAAATCTTGTTGTTCTGAGGGTGCGATAAGGTTGGCCTCTACTCCAGTACCTCATACTTTGAAGGACCTATTGCTGTTGAACACTGCCGAGGCTAAATTTTTTAGAACTTGCATCAGAACAATAAATAATCAATTTGCATTCACATCCTTGGGGGTCATGTATGATAAAGAATTGAGCCAACGAAACAACGGTGTGTATACTTTTAGAATACAAGGTCAGATGTACCACTTTCTAAAGGATTTAGAATCGTCAAATAATTTACAGCTCTATTTCCACGATACTGAGAATGAGGTGTCTAATCGTATGATGGCTTGTCCTCGACTTACAGAAAATATCACTGTTAAGGTTTTGAAAGTTCTTGAGGGAAATCCGTACGCTAGATTTTTTAGGGGTTTAACTAAGGTGCATAATTTAAGTGACTGCCATATAGTTTTGCGTAGTGTCCCTGGTTTAGATCAAAGGACATATAATCAGCCTACCGAATCTGAGGTTGCAGCTTTATGGGTTGACGGCAGTGGTAATGAAGAGCCCTGTAAGCGCGATATTCGTGTTCACTGTGCTGGTGGAACCTCTCATAGGATACAATATTATTTTGGCTGCTATGACCCGTTGCAGTATCCATTGATGTTCCCGTTTGGTCAGGTGGGTTGGCATCAGGGAATAGAGAAGAAAAATTGGAGTGCTGCTCAATCAAATGGTGGGAACTGCCGGGCCGTAAGTTCTGTGTCACCGTGGGCGGCTGTGGATGCAGAAGACATAATACAGAGGGAGGAGGATGGTACATTTGTACATTTTTTCTTTCTCTTAAATGAATGACGTAAAAAAAAACACTTAATTGACTGTCTATTTTTTACACTAATAAACAGCTGTTGCCGTTGTGACTGACAACCCTAATTATGTGTCTTTGCGGGAGTACTATGCCTAAAAATTACAGGTGCGCACCAACGATGAATCTTTTTTACTGCATTTTGGCAGGCTTTTCCAACAATTTATTGTTGACATGTATGTTAAAATAGAGTCCCAACGTTTGGACTTTTATAAAACACAACAAGTGGAGATAAGGAGTGAACTAATGGCTGGTGTCCAGGATTCTTTGGCCAATGGGGAAACAGAAGCATCTATGGTTGGCCAAAGGATCTATCTACCCTCGGGTTTTATTGGAGGTCCTAGAAACATGAAGAGAAGATATATGGATGCCATGACTTTGGTTCAGAGATTTGGCAGACCAGACCTTTTTTTGACAATGACTTGCAATCCAAATTGGCCAGAGATAAAGTCTTTGTTGTTGCCTTCCGATGAGTCACAAAATAGGCCAGACATAATAGCTAGAATATTCAGGGCTAAACTAGAAGATTTGAAAAAAGAAATTTTAAAAAGACACATTTTTGGTGAAGTTGCCGCTTATACTTATACCATTGAATTTCAAAAGAGAGGTCTGCCACATGCACATCTTCTCTTGATTTTGCAGCCTCAGTTCAAGTTGTATACGACCAACGAATATGATAGGATTGTTTGTGCAGAAATACCTGATCGTGGCACATCGCCTCACTTGCATAATATGGTTGTCAAGCACATGTTGCATGGCCCTTGTGGCAAAATGAACCTTTCAAACCCTTGCATGAAGAAGACTGGTACCTGTAAAATTTTTTACCCAAAAGCTTTTTGTGACGAAACAACTCATGTTAATGATGCTTACCCTAGGTATAGGCGCCGTGATAATAAGGTCCGTGTGAAAGTCAGGGGACATGAACTGGATAATAGGTGGGTAATTCCATATAATCCATATCTACTCGCAAAATTTAATTGTCACATGAATATAGAAGTGTGCTCCACTATAAAGGCTGTAAATACATATACAAGTACATTTGTAAAGGCCATGACAAAATTGCATTTCATGTGGATTCGAGTAAGCCTTTTAATGAGATAGATGAAATAGAGCAGTATCGCACCGCCCGTTGGGTATCGCCACCCGAAGCCGCATGGAGAATCTTTCGGTTTTATATGGGCGACATTAGGCCTGCAGTCATTCATTTGCAGGTGCATCTGGAGAATTATCAGCGTTTAGCCTTTAAGAAGAGTGATAGATTGCATAGGATTGTAAATAATCCTAACAATTGGAAAACCATGCTCACCGAATTCTTCTACATGAATGCTAATGATCCTTATGCACAATCAAAGAACCTGACATACTTGGAATTCCCTGAATATTTTGTATGGATGTCGACAGAAAAGCGGTGGAAAAAAAGGATCCAGCGTGACACAATTGGCCGTTTAGTTTCTGTACATGTCAGCGAGGGAGAGCGTTTTTATTTGAGGTTGCTTTTGTCCAAGGTCCGCTGTCCCAAATCGTTTGATGACCTTAAATTTTTTAATTGCAGGTATGCTGTTACCTTTCGTGAGGCAGCATTGGAACGCGGATTGTTGGAGGAGGACAACAGTCAGGAGATGTGCTTGGAGGAGGCTTCGCGCTACCAAATGCCTTACGAGATGCGCAGGTTGTTTTGTAATTTGTTGGTTTATGCATGTCCCAATAGTCCTAAGCTTTTGTGGGAAAAATTTGAGGAGCATTTGTGTGCGGATTTTTTGAGGCAATCTAGCTGTACGCTTGCTAGGGCAAGGCAGAAGGCACTTGTACAGCTTAGTGGTTTTCTGGAGTCGATGGGTAAAAATATTAGGTCTTTTGATCTTTTGCCTGTGAATACAGATTTTCTTGGTGAAAAAAATACACGAGAGGTAGATGCTGAGAGGAGTATAATTGTTTCTCAGGAGGACCTAAATGCTGTTGGTTTGCTTAATAGAGAACAGAAAAAAGCCTTTGACATGATAATGAATTGCATTGAAGAAAAGAAAAAAGGTGCTTTCTTTGTGGATGGGCCGGGTGGTACCGGGAAATCTTTTCTTTATAGAGCTTTGCTTGCGACTGTGCGCTCTAGGGGTGGCATAGCCTTAGCCACTGCAACATCAGGCATTGCTGCGTCCATATTGCCTGGGGGTAGGACGGCACATTCTAGGTTTAAAATTCCAATAGATTTGTCAAATGTAAAATTTTGCAGTATTAGCAAACAGAGTTCTCTAGGGTCACTCATACGTGAAAGCAAGTTGATTGTGTGGGATGAGGCGCCAATGGCTAAAAGGGATGCCATTGAGGCACTCAATCTTTCGCTCAAGGACCTTTGTGGTTCTGATGAACTCTTTGGTGGTAAGGTGATAGTTTTTGGTGGTGACTTTAGGCAGGTTCTACCTGTATTGCGTAGAGGCAGTAGAGATCAGACAATAGATGCTTGTCTGAGCAGCTCATGCATATGGCCCTTGCTTACGAAACTGAAACTCGTGGAAAATATGCGCGCCCGTTTAGATCCTTTATTCACAGAGATGCTTCTGAGAATAGGAAATGGACAGGAACGTACATACGATGAGGACCTTATTAAGATACCGCCTTCAATAACTATTTCAGATCCTCTTTCTGAGGACTCTTTGGATGAACTAATTAGAATAATATATCCAGATTTGGCGCACCTAACAGAAACAGAACTTTCAGTAAATAGAGCAATTCTGACAACCAAAAAATACCTTTGTAGATGAGGTGAACACAAAGCTCATAAATGAATTCCCAGGTGATTTGGTGGAGTACTTGAGTTTTGATAAGGTAGAGAATCCAGCCCATGAAGCGGAGTATGGAGACCTGATAAATTCGCTGACACCAAGCGGTATTCCAGAGCATAGACTGAGGCTGAAGAAAAATGCACCAGTTATACTGCTGCGAAATTTAGATCCTACAGAGGGGCTGTGCAATGGAACGAGATTGATATGCAAAGAACTGAATAAGAATGTCATCCATGCTCAGATTTCGATAGGAGACTTTTCAGGCAAAAGTGTTTTCATACATAGGATCCCGTTTGAACCTTTACCAGAAGAACAATATCCCGTTCCCTACAAGCGCATCCAGTTTCCCCTGCGCCTGTGTTTTGCAATGACGATAAATAAGGCTCAAGGGCAGACACTTGACTCGGTTGGTGTTTATTTGAGAGAACCAGTTTTTTCACACGGGCAACTTTATGTTGCTCTATCACGTGCAAAAACATCACGTTCTGTAAAGATGCTGATTAAACCGCCGTTCTTCAACGAGCAGCGGTTAAACTACACCAGGAATATAGTATATGCAGAAATACTGCAGGCTACTGGAATTATATAAACTTGTTGACCTGAGGTTTGTGTTTTAGAATGCGGGTTCTTTGTGTGTGCATAACTTTTACGCCGTTTGCTTATTTAGTTGTTTTGTTTCTGCAGGTCGAATGCGTGGTTCTGGATCTTAGATGAACATGTGTGGCAAAGGATTGCTTTATATGTGTGTGCGTGATCTCCAGGAGTGGGGTAAATCACAGCAAGTAGATTCACGGTTTTG